CAAAAAAAAAAAAAAATAGTAGAACAGGTGTTAGAAAATCATAAATCATAAGGAGGAAATTAGATCATTCATATAAAACATTTAACATAGTACCTGGACAGTTTCATGTCCTAAATAAATATCAACTGTTATAGCTTACTAGTTTTACCTAGTTAGTCCTTCAACCTATTTACTAGCCAACCCATCCAATTGCCTGTGCCTTCCAAATCTAAGATATTTTACAAAGAGAATCTGGTAAAAGTGCATTTTTAATATATTTTCAATTGCATCCAACCATAACCTAAATCTAGGGTCTAGGAGTAGTCAGAGATCTCCTACTTGGAAGCTGTGTATAGAAAAAAGTGGTCATGGTCGAGGGAAAAAAGTGATCTTGTTTTTCAAAGATAGCCCAGGAGTTGATCTAGGATGCAGAGACATTAAAGCAGGTATTAAAAATATGTTCAAAGACTTTTTTAAAATGTTCAAAGACTCAAAATAACATAGTCTCAATGAGTAAACAGATAAGAAATCATTGTGGCAGAAAAAAAGGAAAACATTGCTGAAGGAAATGAAAGATGATTTGAATAAATGAAGAGATAAGATATGCTCAAAGACTGGAAGACTCAATTTAAGAGTACCCAAATTGATCTATAAATTCATTGCAATCTCCAATCAAACTCCCAACAGATTGTTTTGTACAATTGAAAAATGGATTCTCAAATTAATTTGGAAATGTAAAAGATCTAGGATAATCAAAACAATTTTGAAAAAGGACAGATCTGGAGGATTTATACCATATACTATGCAATTATGTAAAATTAAGTAGTAGAGTGTCCTATTGTTATAGGGTTAAACACTAAAATTACATTAATGTGATAGAACAGAGATTCCAGAAGCAGACCCACACATAAATATAGGCAGTTGATTTTTCAGCAACGATACAACAGCAAGCAATTCATTGGGATGAAGGTGGGAGAAAGGAGGAGAATCTTTTCAACAAAGGGTGCTTTGTCAATTAAATATCATTTGCTAAACAAACAAACTTGGATACATAACTCACACCATATAGAAAAATTAACACAAAATCGATCATAGAAATAATGTAAAACCCAAGCTATAAAACTTCTAGCAGGATGCACTGAGGGAAATCTTTACATCAATGTAGGCAAACATTTCTTAGACAAGTTACAAAACCCATACCATAAAAGGGACAGAAAGACATATTGAACTTCTCTTCAAAAGATACTATTAAGGGAGATTAAAGTTTAGCCACATATTCTGGGACAAAATAGTTATATTACTTTATCTGACAAAGGACATATTTGTATCCAGAATATGTAACATAAGACTCAATAATAAAAAAATACAAATGAAAATGAGCAAAATGGTTTTGATGGACACCTCACATGAGATAATGAATGAATTATCAAAAAGCATGTGAAAATGCACACAGCACTATTAAGTCATCAGGAAAATGCCAGTTAAAACCACAATGAGACACTATTACACAACTATAAGAGGTTAAAAATGAAGAGATTGGCAATACAAAGGCTTGGAAAAGATATGGACAAAGTGGAATTCTCATTTAGGTGGGAATATAAAGTGGCATAATCATTTTGGAAAAAAGTTTGACAGTTTCCCATAAAGTTAAACATCTCATTGTCCACACGATTTAGACATTTTACTTCTAGGTATTTTACTCAACAGAACTGATAAGTCCACAAAAAACTTGTACATCAATGTTCGTAGCAACTTTTATGCATAATAGCTAAAACATGGAGAGGAAAAACCCAACATCTAACAACAGGTGAATAGATCATCAAATTATGATATATTCATGCAACGGAAGCCTGGTCAGCAAAAGAATAGAACTAATAAATACAACAACATGAACATATTTCAGATACACAAGGCCAAATGAAAGAAACCAGACACAGAAGGGTGCATGCTGTGTGGTCCCATTCATATTAGTCTTGTGAACAATTAAAATTAATCTATATTGATAGAAATTAAAATTACTCCAATTGATAGAAATAAGGACTGTAGTTGCTGAGATAGAGGTTGTGGAGGAAATTAACTGAAGGAGTATCTGAAGATATTTTCTGGGGTATAGACTTTTTGTTGTTGTTGTTGTTGTTGTTGTTTTTTGAGTCTCACTCCGTGGCCCAGGCTGGACTGCAGTGGCACACTCACAGCCACCCCAGCATCGACCTGCTGGGCCTTCCAAGTAGTCAGAACTACAGGCGTGCACTACCACGCCCAGCTAATTTTTTAGTTATTGTAGAATGAGGTTCTGCCAGGTTGCCCGGGCTGGTCTCAAACCCGCAGGTTCAGGCAATCCACTAGCCTCAGGCTCCCAAAGTGCTAGGATCACAGGCTAAGCCACCGAGCCCAGTAGATAGAAGTATTCTATAGCTTGAATGGAGAGATGGCTAAATGTGTATACACATCTGTGGAAATTACAGATGAATTTGCTTTATAAAATTACAGAAAATATACTTATGCTATATTAAAATTTTGAAAGTACTGTGCACAGATGGGTTGAGTTCTCTAGAGGAAATTCAATAAATAATTGAGATAGTCAACAAATAAAATTGAAATACAGAAATAGAATATTATATTTGAAGAGATCCCTGCTGAAAATATTAAATAATAGAATATTTATTTCATCTTAAAATATGATTGTAGTTTTGTGAGATTCAAATACCTAATTTTATAGAGAAACAGTATTACTCTCTGAACTTAATATATCTATTTCTTGAGGGGTTAAAAACTCCTCTCACCTAGAACTGAAGTCTGTAGATGTTCACACTTCTTCCCTTGGCAGTATAAATGGTTCTTTCGAGAATAATACTAATACGGAGAAATATTACTGCTAAGTTTTGGCTTCTTCTTGTGCTTTGCAAAAATAGTATAAATGATTAAATTTGAATGTTTCCATAAAAGAGATTCATGCTTATTACATCAAAACAAAATGCAAACATAAAAATGTGTCTATGCCTTTTGTTTTATCTTATGTTGCCAAAGGAAAATTCACATCCAATATTGATTGGTCTTTTATTATGGTCTAAAAACATTTACAGAGAAATGAAGATGAAAAGAGCATTTCTTCCATCCCCTAAATTCAATTGTACTAGCAACAGAATAGCTTATCTCTGAAGATCAAAGGCGACTGCTGGCAGAACTCACATATTTTTCTTTCTGACCAACCTCAACAAAAAAAAAAAAAAAAAAAGAAAGAAAGAAAAGAGAAAATAAACAAATGTCGAGCATGGATCATTACAAAAATCACAAAACTAGATTTTTCTAAAAATCACAGTGTACCTCTGTCTTCACTAAACGTTTTCAAATAAGGTTTTTACATGGCATTTAGCTCATCATCAAAGGGGAAAATCAGATACATGTAATAATCCTCTAACCCTTAAAGCAATGATGATATCAGTCCCATAACATCTGAGCCACAGGAATAGAATACACTGAGCCTGTGGCTAGAAGA